CCAATTTTATTTACAGGAGTAATTTTAGGAAAGTTACTTCTGGTCAAATTCTAGGTGAACAAGCCTTAGTTTCCCTAAATAAAAAAAAAGAGCTTGCTATTAACCACAGATTTTTCTTTACCCAGGAATCTAGCAAGATCACAAAGTGGAAAATTCACATACATTTTTTTACTTACTGGTCAGAATAAACTCTTGAAATATTTTTGTCCCTTAGAATATATTGGTTTAGGGTTAATAGCTCCCTTTTCCCCCTCTTTTTAATATTACTGTGTTAAATAAAAAATACTAAAGCATCCCTTTCTCTTCCTCATTTGGTATGTTGTCCAAGATGTGACCTGGTTAATCCTGGTTAATATAAATATTATTTAGACTGCATTTTCTGAGAGGCAGCCAGTTATCCTTCTACATAAGGTTCAGGACTCTCTCAGTCTCCTCTCTCCTAGCACAAAGGCCTGCAGCTGGCTTGGTCTCTCTAAACTTACTTTTCTGGAAATCTGATAATATTTGAAATACCAGTTAAAATCTAGCAATATAATGTTTCCTATGAATGCTCCCCCGCCAAAAATCTAATAACATTGCATAAAAAAAGACAAAGTAACAATTTTCTTTCTTCGAAACCACTCAGCTATGCAATCTTGAGTTCTTTTAGACCTTCAGAAGGTATGATCAGTATGCATAGGAAAAGTCATGTCTCTTACTTAACTTTGCAAGACTGCACTGCAAAGCATTAATAGCTGCTTTGCCTTGTTAATAAACTTCAGTCAAAATGCTCTGGGAGATAATTTGATTAAAAAAAAGAATAAAAAACACCGAAGCTGAAATATTGCTTTTATAAGCTGCAAGATCAATTCACCATGTGCTTTTTTAATCAACTGAAATATATACATTTAAACAGAAACACAGATGATTTAGCATTCTCCCATATCATGTCAGTGAGCATGATTAGTTCCTTGTAATGTTTTTCTTCTAATACTCTCTTGTGCTCTGACTTATGGGGGGAAAACTTTCCATGAAAAATGTGTGCTACTTTTCTACTTTTGGCCTTTGTCTGTGAGTCTTCTCTGCCTTAATTACAATATAAATCAACTGCAAAAAAGAAAAAAAAGATTTACAGTGATTACACCTCACTTAGAGAGCTGTGAAGATTGATCTGGAAGTGTTGTATTTGTCAAGCTCTGTCTCAACTAGTTCTAAACTCAGGTCTACACATGGTAGTACTCAAAAAGAAGTAAATATGGGAGGGGAAAGCTCTACTTTATGTTCTCACTGAGTATGCTTAATAAGTTACTCCCAGAAAACTCCAGGGCAAAAGACTTTTCAAATAACTGTGAACTTCAAACCCATTCACTACAGTAGAAGAAAACAGCACCGTAGTTACTGCGCTGATCCCAAATATCCGCCATTTTGTCTCTGTGTGGTCACCTGGGTGGGTTGGTATTTGGAACAGGAATCTTCCCATTGTAATGAATTGATTTTTATCACCCTCAATAAGAACTTACTGAGGACCTATATTCACGACATTATACTAGTTTCTTGAAATATTCATCAATCCTTCCTTTAGGAAGTTTCTAAGGGGAAGTTCATTAATTAATGTGAACATACTAAAGTAAAACACAAACGTACAATTAAGAAACAAGATGACACAATGAAATGTGTCCTTCCATCTTCCACTTCCTTAAAAGTTTTGGATTGTGCTGAATTTGGGATTAAGTTCTGTCGCTTGACTTCACTCTCCATAAATCTACAGACATCTGTCCTGCCCCCACCCCGCTGCTGCTCCAACAAGCTGGTGCCACTCTGGTGTAAAGGATCAAAGAGATGACATAGCATGCTTTTTAGATTTCTTTGTGTTGGGTTTCTTTGAAAGTCTTTTTTTTAACTTGATTGCTTCATTTAAAAGTGACCTCAGTGATTCCTTCTTAATGAAATGTTACAAAGCCTCCAATAAAGTATTAGAACAGCTATTTGCTAATCTGCCAGTATATCCCTTTTAAAATTGGGCTCCTTTTTCCAAACAACACTCCTGAAGAATCATAGTTTCCTTTTCCATTGTTCTCTCCTTCTATTGTTTTCCTATAGCAGAATGTGCCTGTTGAATAGGCAAGATCCAAATATTTTTCTCTTAGCTCATATGAGGACTCAGAAAGAATGTAATCACACTTAGAAAATAAAGTATATTCTCAAATCTAGAAATTAGCTAGTAATTGAAATTATCATCACATGTTTTAACTGATGACCATTGAACTCTTTTCTGGCAAACGGCTCATAGAGCATTAATTGCACGTCACATTACAGATCTGCAGACTTAAGTTCCATCTTGCCCTTGGGACTATGAGGTCTTAAGCAACTTGTGTCTTTCAGGGTACAAAAAAATAATAATTAAATTGTGGAAGTTCTATTTGGTGTGTGAAGTATGTACCTCACTGTCCTTTCAAATGTCATTCCTGCCCTTCAAACATATATTATTATCTACCACTTTCATGCACTGCTGGGAAGCTTCATCTCCTTCTACTTCCACCCATAGTACCCAAGTACCTTTCTAAGAACACTCCAGAAAGCTATTTCTTACATACAGGAAAAT